TCGTTTTCCTTCCTTCTTTCGTTGTTTCGCACTATGTGCAAGGGGGTGTCATTCTGTGTGCTGTGGCTTCCTTCGCTTCCCATGCTGGAGAGGGATGCCTGATCAAAAGAAAGTGTACGAATGATAGAAACCAGCTTGACACAGCTGAAGAGAGTAGGAATAAGTGTCGTTTCCCACAGACGGCGCCAAATGTTGATGCACAAAATCAGCGAAGACTTTGGTACAACAGAAAGTGTCAGGTTTTGTGACCTTCGCTTGGTTGCTTCGGTCACTAGTGAGGATAAGTACGTAAATGAATAGAGACAGAGAAGCAAACACAGGATGTACGTGGTTCACCAGATTGGCTACGTCCACGGAGTAGAAGAGTTCTTATTAGTAGTGAAGGGCTTACACAAGTACAAAGGATCAAGCTCTCAATTTAGTGAGTTCTTGTGAATGATTTAACACAAATGGCATTAGCCAATATTGTGGGGGAATGACCCCTATTTATAGAAAAACTTGTAGCTTTGTCACATTGACATGTGTCATGTTATGATTGGTTCTTGATGTCGACACGTGCTGCGCTCTGATTGGCTTCTAATCTTGACACGTGTCGAGTAATGATTGGCCTCCTGGTCGGAGGGGAACTCTTCTGGGTCCTTGACAGTATAGCGTTGGCCGGTGCTCGGTAGTTTCGGGATTGGTCAAGTATGGTACAAACACAAGTAAATGATTATTGTTAAATGGGTAAACGGTTATGGTTAAATAGGTATGGTTAACCATTTATAAACAGTTATGGGTATGAGTATAACCGTTTATGCAATTACCCAACGGGTAAACGGATATACGGGTATGAATATAAACGGTTATGAGTAAATAACCTCGGTTAGCCGCCCGCCATAACCATTGCCCATCCCTAGCCCCACCCCACCGTCCTCTATCTTTTTCTCCAACACACAATATAGCTCCGATCCCCCACCCCCACCATGTGGATGCCAAATGGCCACGAACACCTTTTTTCTTGAATTATTTTCCACCCAGCTGGAAAATTTGATTAGAAATTTTCACCCAAAATTATAAATTAAAAAAATGGAAAAAGTTTGGAGAGAAGAAGAAGAAGAAGAAGATGATGATGATGAATCAAGTCCAGCAGCTATCCGATACCAAATATGATAATCAAAGATAAAACTGTAGACATCGAAATTTCGGTAAATAAATGTTGATCGAGCCTCGACGGCCCTTGAAGAAATTTCAAACAAAAGTTCAAGAACAAGCCTCAAACGGCCCTTGAAGAAATCTCAAACAAAGTCCAAGAACAAACGATGCCATGGACACCCCGATGGGGTGACTTTGACATAATCAAAGATCAAGGACTTAACCACAAGACAACTGTGATGCCTTAGGTCAAATGACTACTTTGCATTATCCCAACCATGAGTTCTCATGTGACATGAGTATGAGAACTCTTCGTTGATCGCGTTCAGTGAACTCATTCTCTACTGAGCACCTACGTACTTGTCTTGATGTCACACACACCAATGACTCGAGACTAGTCACTCTTCCTGAGAGAAGACATAGGACGTACCGATCTTGACGGACTGTCAATGCCCAATTGGCAATCCTATGATCAGGAACATTTAGGATGTGTCTACGAAAGAATGGTCTCAGGAATCTAACTTCATTAGATTACATTCTCCCAATCACATATTCCTTGGACTTTATCGTTTAAGCATATAACATTTATATGAGACGGCTCAAACAATAATCTTTGCCCTTTATATTAAACTAGATTAGTTTAACATGTGAAATGTCCGTAAAGCATCATCACATGATTGGTTTTAGGGCACATTTCCAACAGGGGTTTTATGAAACCTTGTGGTGGTTTTGAAACCTTAGCGTTGCTTAGCTATGTCAGAGGTAATACTGCGTTTGTGTTGAGTAGCTTTACATTGTCCTTGTGCAACTATGTGTTGGCTTTGCTTGTTCCAGTTTCGAATGGGGATTGCCCATTCTTTCTTCTCGACATTGGGATGTATCAGTAGACGGGTGTGTTTCCTCATTTTGAGTGCATCACACTCCCTTTGATTGTAGTGGGCACGGCTTGCCACTATTGTTTCTTAGGTGTGGCTTTGCATGTGGATTTGATTTCTTTTGGAAGAGCTTCGGGCACCATGTCTTCATACATGTAGAACTTGGTGTCTGCAAAGTGTGATTCAGCTTCGGTGAATGGCTTAGTTTCGCCTTGTATCACCTTTACTCCTTCTCGGTAGAACTTTAAGCATTGATGAAAGGTGGACGACACTACTCCATTCTCGTGGATCCAAGGCATTCCTAATATCAAGATGTAGGAAGTTCTTGCATCAATCACATAGAATAATGTGCTTGATTTGAGTTCACCAATGGTCATCTATACTTGGATTACGAGATGGCTTTGGGATAGGTTATCTACCTTGATACTGATTGTGGTCATTATTGATTTTGGCATGATTTTTATGGCCGACCCATCATCCATAAGCATGTGGTCCTTGAAGAAATCTCCAGCCCAATTCAAGATCAAGCCTCGACGGCCCTTGGATCGACATCTACATTAAGGGACTTCAAAAACGCATCTCCTACACGCGACAAGCACATGTATACGAACGCGCCTTGAAGTGGGGGCATTTGTAGACATCGAAATTTCGGTAAATAAATGTTGATCGATAAATCAAAGTTTCAACGCTCATGTATTACATAAATTTTACACGTAGCGTGTGACTCGACGAAAAAATTGAAATGAGTTGGAAAAGTCATCAAACAGGACACGTGTCAACACCTGGCAGAAACGACTTATTTTATCTAGAATATTATATTCAAAATTAGGCCTTGGAAATTTCTATAAATAGAAGGCTAATTCATTCATTTGAGGAGGACCAATTCATATTACACCTTGAAGCTCTGAAGCTCTGAAACTCCGAAGCTCTCAAGCATCCAGGTTCCCGAAGACTCAAGAAAGCCTTCTTCGTTCTTCGTTCATCGTTCTTCCAAGATCAAGCCCCGACGGCCCTTGAAGAAAGTGTTCTTCGTTCCTCGTTCATCGTTCTTCCAAGATCAAGCCCCGACGGCCCTTGGATCAACAATCACCAACTCAAGATCAAGCCCTAACAGCCCTTTGGATCAACAATCATCCACCAATTCAAGATCAAGCCCCAAAGGCCCCTTGAAGAACTTCCACCAATTCAAGATCAAGCCCCGACGGCCCTTGAAGAAAGCACCATCGTTCATCATTCGTTCATCTTAAGATCAAGCCCCAACGGCCCTTTGGATCAACAACGTTGACAAATCCACACATCCAACCGTTCTTCAAGATTAAGCCCAAAAGCCCTTGAAGATCCGTTCATCACCGTTATTCAAGATCAAGCTTTAACGGCCCTTGAAGAAACATTCATCCTCAAGATCAAGCCCCAACGGCTCCTTGAAGATCCGCTCAAATCCACCTTCAAAGATCAAGCCCACGGCCCCTTGAAGAAACTTCCAACAGTTCATCCAAGATCAAGCCTCAACGGCCCTTGGATCAACGAAACATCCACAAATCAACACCTTACGGAGATCGAATCAGAGGATCAAATTTGAGAGAGATTGTAACCCAAAATCATCAAAATACATAATATTATTTTGTGCACGTTGTTCTTGTCTCGTTTCGTTTCAGGAAAATTTCGTGTTCACAAAAACTCAGATGGAAAATTTTGAAAATTTAGAAGAAAATCCAATACAACTAAACAATCATTTAATTTAGATACGAGTTTAAGAAGTTAAATTGATAATTCTATGTTCTAATTCTACCGATTTCTTCCTCCTCCTCCTCCTCCTCCTCCTCCTCCTCCTCCTAGTTTCTTCTCATTTGAATACCCAAAAGCTAAAAGTTAAAGCTTTTTAAGACTAGAGATGGAAAGAAAAAAAAAGCAGAGAGAGATAGAAAGGCAAAAACGCGTGTAAAGTGAAGGATCCAAGGCTCAGCTTTCCAATCGCAACTCTCTGTCGGAGCTGACTTGGATGGAGATTGGTTACAGGTGGGTTTAGGAAAACAACATATAAGGATTCAGTGATTAAGGGTATAGTAGTACTTTTATATTAACTTTTGGTTATAGTTATCATAAAATTAAAATCATGGCTATAATTCTATATGAGGTACAAATTTTGGTTATATTTCCAAATTTCCCACCCAAGTTGCACCCCTATCATTTAATCATCTATTTTCATGAGGATCAAACAGTTCATTATCTCTACTAATTAATAAAACCCTCTTTGTCAACCAAAAGAGGATAAAAGATAAACTCGTCTTCTATCACACAAAAAATATGATGGCAATGATGTAATTTCACAGGTCCAAATTTTACTATTTTTTATTGAAGCCTCACCTACATGTGATGTTAAAATACTTCCAATATTAAAAAAAACAAAAAAACAAAAAAAACTCCCCCCGCCCCCCAGTTCTCCCTCTCCCTCTCCCTCTCTTCTTCTGATTTTCTAAAAAAATGTGTTCATACACACAAAGTGTGTAGACAAATGCTAGTATGGGTTAAAATAAGGGATGGGTTAAAATAAGAGAACTTTAACGAAAAACTCCCGGTACTGTTCATTTTAACGAAAAATCAAATTTTTACACTAAAAATAAATGATACGATCATTCGCTGTTAAATGTAATACTGATGATGAAGAATAAATGAATATGTTTTATGAGAATTAACCGCGCACATGCGGTTGCAAACATGTGGTTGCAACGAAGTGTGGCTTTCTGTCTCTCCCTTGGGAGGGACATGACATAATGAAATAGCAGTGATTGCGAAGGGCCAATTGTAGTAACCAAGTCACCATTGGCAAAGGAAATGGGAAGCAGAAAAAGACAGAAACGCTGACGCCAGATGAGACGTGTGTTGATTAAACTGTTTTATTTCAGCGCCATCACATGATCCCATCTGCATCGGGTCGACCCAGCTCTGACACGCGACTACAGGTATAATTGGTGCATAAATGCATATGCATTCATTCACATAAATGCATAAGCTCTCTTGTTGTTTTTCCTCTTCCCCTCCTCTCCTCTGTTTTCATGAAAGCAAAATAAAAGCAAATCATTCTGAGCTTAACTTTACAGGTTGGGCCTCGTTTGGCACATGCCATAATAGTACTATTTAATACGAATCCGGAGGTTCGATCCCACATCTTAAAAACCTCCCCATTTTACTCTAATTCTCTCTTATTAGTATCATAAACGTATATATATATATATGTTGTTAATTCCTCTCCCAAAAACTAGCATTTTGATTGTCTCTTTGTTTTCTGTTTGGTTTGTCATTACGTTTGCAGAAACAGAGGTGGCAGAGGGGAGGTGAGGACGAGCTAATAATAATTTAGAATAATTGATAAAAGAAGAGGATGGAACTTCTGCAGCTGTTCGTGACGGCCTCAATTCCGGTGTTGAAAGTGCTTTTGATAACAGCACTTGGCTCTTATCTTGCTCTTGATCGTGTCGATATTTTGGGGGAAGTTACTAGAAAGAACTTAAACACTGTAAGTTAATAACACTACACCGCTTCTTCATTCAATCAATTTATTTCTCGTGTTGGACTGTTTTCTTACTGGTATTTGTGTTTTGTGAACCAACGAACGAACGAACAGGTTGTATTTTATGTGTTCAGTCCTGCTCTCGTGGGTTCCAACCTTGCGAAGACAATTACATATGAAAGCATGGTTAAAATGTGAGTTGTAATTACTTTGTTCGATCTACATATATACATACATGTATATATAATCATGTGAATGTTGTAATAATTATTATGTGTATAGGTGGTTCATGCCAGTGAATATCCTCATCACGTTTATAATTGGTTCCGTGCTCGGATGGATTCTCATCCAATTAACAAGGCCTCCTGCACATCTGCGAGGCCTTGTCTTGGGTTGCTGTGCTGCAGGTAAGTCAACGCTCTACCCTCACAGTCTAACACATATTTGAATTTAATCTTATTTCTAATTCTAAATCGCAGCTGATAAATACTCAGTTTCGCGTTTTATCAATCTTTAGAGATGCTGATGTTAACACTTAACAGGAAATTTGGGTAACTTGCTCCTCATTATAGTCCCAGCAGTTTGTAAAGAAAAAGGGAGCCCGTTTGGAGCTCCTGATGTCTGTCACACATATGCTATGGCTTATGCTTCGCTCTCAATGGCGGTACATATTCCCTCTTCGTCTTGTTCTAATATTTTGGGTTTTATTGAAATATTATTCCTTTATCTTGCTTTCTACGATTCGAATTAAGAATGGATTGGGAAGCTGCTTCAAACAAGTTAAAATTCATTTCTCTCATTCAAGTTGAAAAGGCGCAGTTACTGCGATTCGAACTCACGATTTTAATCGTTGATATCATCATAAGTTTCATCTCATGTCTAGAACATATACAATTATACATACAAATTGTACTACCCCAAACGGCCAGGGCCACTTCTTAAATGGTGTTCGTGTGCACCTGCTTGCTGTGTAGAATACATTTTTCTGAACACATTTTCTTCTGTCCTTCAATTTTCCTCTTGAATTCTAGCGACTGTTTCTCCTCTACAATGTAGCTACCTTGTTCAGCTGTCAGGGATTCCTATCTTTGCTTTTTGTAATGCAATTGTGTTCATGCTTCAGATAGGAGCCGTGTATTTGTGGTCCTATGTATATAATATTGTGCGGATATCTTCAACAAGGGGCACCCAAGATTCTAATCAGTCCGCCGAGAGGTCCCCTACATCCGACCAAGTAAGTTGCACTGAGCCGCTGCTTTCTTCAAAGGAATATGTCATAGTTGAGGAAAATGGGGATCAATATTCACTGCCATACACTGCTGCGCCTGAAGAAAAACCAAAGGTTGCTAACTCCATTAAACTACAATGATACTCATTCAATTTGATGCTTTAAGTATTTCCAACAAATCTATATTAAGATTTGTTTATTGAGAAAATATCTTTTTCTCAGAAATACTTAGAAATGTTTTATTGCTAGACTGTCAATCCAGACGACTAATCAAATGAATGTCATTTGAATGTATGATCCAGATTCGCAATCTCACAATGTAACATGCCGGGCATCTCTAACAAGAGAAAGTTGCCCTGTTTCTTTTCAATTTCTTACACTGCATATCTTTGTTGTTTTCCATGGCAGGCGACGACTTCAGGTAAACTAAAGCAACGTATAGTGATGGTGTTTGAAAAGATCAATCTGAAAACAATATTTGCCCCTTCAACTATTGGAGCGGTATGTCCGTTCGGCACTTTTATATCATTGTGATCCAGATTCAGCGCAATTTTATTGAAAATTTGGGCAAACTTAATCTTTTCCTGGTGTAGATTGTTGGTTTTGCAATCGGAGTCATTCCTCAGATTCGAAAATTACTGATAGGAGATGGTGCTCCTCTACGGGTGATTCAAGATACTGCTTATTTGTTGGGGTATCGAACTTATGCCCGAACTGTATTAAACCTTAATAATTTATCCACGATCTATGCACTTATTGGCAACTAATCTAGCTTCCCGTTCTTAATACTATTACATACTAGGGAAGATACTAACCATGCTTGGTCCTATAGTTGTACATATCCGAATGAATAATTTGGTTCTCAATTAGCATAAAAGTAGAATACTTGTCTGTTTGTACCATTTTTGTTGTTCACTCAGCATCAGTTAAAGAGACTTGTTCTTTATGATTGCAGGGACGGAGCCATCCCAGCTCTCACTTTGATAATAGGAGGAAACCTACTTAAGGGTAATAACCCATACAAATTCTGTTAGTGATGTACTTAATTGTTGGTTTAGTTTAGAACTTACTTCACATTGTTGTTTCAGGTTTGAGAGGGTCAGGGATTCAGAAATCTCTTGTCGTTGGCATCATCGTTGTTCGTTATGTTGCCCTGCCTCTTATAGGCATATTGGTTATTAAAGGGGCACTGAAATTTGGGTTGGTGCACTCTGACCCATTATATCTGTTTGTTCTTCTGCTTCAGTTTTCACTCCCACCTGCGATGAACATAGGTACGCTTGCTCCTGTTGTTTAGCAACAAAAAAGTGCAATCAGAAGTTGCTCGCTCAATCTAACAAATGTAAGTTTATTCTCAAGTATTGTTTATTGATCCTTTAAAATATGGCAGGAACAATGACGCAATTATTCGGAGCAGGAGAGAATGAATGTTCAGTTATCATGCTGTGGACTTATGCTTTCGCGTCACTGTCGCTTACATTTTGGTCTGCCGCCTTCATGTGGACTGTGACACGACTGTGAATCAAAATTTTACATGAATTCTTTCTAATACAAGTGTAGGCAATTTGTCAGAAGAAATATTACTTGGCAAAACTGTAAACAACAAAGGCACTTTTGGTCCTGTAATGTGTAATCAGATTTCGGAATTAAATGCAAAGTTGAGCAATCCACTCTGCCAAATCAATCGCAAGTTGTAGCTGCAAATATGCTTGACCAGAAGAAATTGATGTGGTACGTGTTCAGACGCGGACAGTTTGTAGCTTGTAATGTTGTTCCTTTTATAAATCATGAACGATGAAATTGTGGTTTAATTTTCAAAGCTATTGTCTAAGAAATGCTTGCAAACTTTTACACGTAGGCATGTCTTGGCATGTGATGGGAACTTGGGAAGGCATAAGTAAGATTGGTGCAATCAGCAGCACATATTTCTGGAGCAGGAACAATGACTGGTCAATTTGATCGGAGCAGGAGCCCGTGAGTTTTCATTTGGCAAAGCTTAGTGGCCCGAATGTAAAACCGTACAGCAAAACGTGATTAAAGTAAAACGTTACATCAATCAATGTCCTAGTTGAATAGAAATATGCTTGAGGAAAGCTACTTGCAAATTGTAAACACCACACCACTCGGAATCCTTTAGTCTACTAGTTAGCCATCCTAAAGATTTAGCACAACTGCGTGCTTGTGGAAAGCAAGTAAACTTCAGTAGTACAGAGCGCTTCTCTGCTAGCCATCCCGATCCACAAATGCTTCATCCTGCTTCTTCAGAGAGAATCCTTGTTCAAACCATCAAAGTAAGGGTGCTCCATAGCTGTCTTAGCTGAAATGCGTTTTGCAGGATCGTATTGCAACATTTGCTGCAAGCATAAACAACATATTTAGAACTAGTATTCATCACCATGTAGATTAGCAGAACACTCTATAAAGTACCACAAATCAAGTAAAGCAAAAGCTGGCGTACCAACAACAAATCCAGCCCCATCTCGTCCAAATTGGGAACAGCCTTCGACAAACTTTGGGGACTCCACTGGGGGTACTCATGCCAGTCCTTGAGCTTGCTTACACCTGGCCACACCACCTCATTTGGAGTGCCCAACAACCTGCATCAAAGATCCATAAGCAAAAGAACTAGGCTAATTGACATTTATACAAGTAATTGGCACAATTTCGGTAATGGGGAAGTGGAAATAATATTAGTGAACCTGAATATATGTAGGAGCTGCTGCAGTTCAGAATCCCCAGGGAAGAGTGCTTGCTTCGTGACAAGTTCAGCTACAATTCAGAAACAATTGAATAGACTGTTAAAACAATGGCATAAATTTCGAGATTCAAACATTAAAATCAAATAAGGAACAGATGAGTACCAAATATACAGCCAACAGACCAAATATCCACTGCAGTTGAGTAATGTGTAGCTCCCAGAAGAACTTCTGGAGCCCTATACCAGAGGGTCAATATCTGCAGCCGTAATTGCACAAAGTCATTAGCTACTGTCAAAAGCAACAAGATAACTCATAACCAAAAGCAAACACATTAACTACCTCATGAGTATACTTCTTGAGTGGCACAGTAAAAGCTCTAGCAAGTCCAAGGTCCGCAATTTTAAGCATCATAGACTTGCGGTCCATCAGAAGATTGTGAGGCTTAAGATCCCTGCATAAATGGCATTAAAACTAATCAAACCAACTTAAAAGAAAACTCAGACGGAGAAATAAACCACAAAGAAAAGATAAGAAACATCATGTGGTTTGGGAGTTAATTGAAAAAAGGTCACCTGTGCAAAATTCCATGACCATGGCAAAAGGCAACACCTTTGCAGAGTTGGAACATCAGGCTCTGCATCATCATAAATCACCATTTCAATTATCATAATTTCATGTGTGATTAAGTTGATTGGGAATAAATATTTGGGGGAAAAGCAAATTAAAGAGCAGACCTTAACGGTGGGGGACGGAATGTGCTCTCCAGATTGACGGAAGGTGCGGATGAATTTCTTGAGATCAGTGTCCATGTACTCAAACACCAAGTAGAGTACGGTCTTTCCCTCCTTGTTCTGCCCTTGTTTCACATCCATCAGCCTATTATGGAATTGGGGTTTAGGGTTTCGTTAATTCACAATTAACCAGCCAAATCAATCAACTTTACAGAAAAGAAGAAAACCCAAATCAATCGATTTACAGAAAAGAGAAGAAAACCCAATTCAATCAATTGAAGATTTCATTTCCGTAAATACAAGAAAGAAATCACACCCTAATTTGTAGAACTAAAGAAAGAGAGAGAGAGGGAAGAAAGGATACGAACTTGACGATGTGGGGGTCTCTGGAGAGCATGCGGAGAATGGAGACTTCGCGGAGAGTGGTGGGAGGGACGCCTTCCTCGTCCTCGTGGAGGCGAGTTTTCTTGAGGGCCACGATTTTCCCAGTCGCCTTCTCTCTCGCTCTGTACACCTTCCCGTAAGTCCCTTCTCCCACCTTCTCCAGCTTCTCGAACGCCTCCATCGCCGACGCTCCTTTATTCGCCGCTCCTCCGATCATCTCCATTTCTCTCTCTTTCTCTCTCTTGTTTCTTGATTTGCTGGTTGCTGATTTCAAACGGTTCAAATGACAAAGGGGGGAGGGCAGAGCGTCTAAGTTATATATCCGCAAAATGGGAAGGGTATTGACGGAAATTTAGGATGTTTGGTTCAACGGGCAACTCTTTTCGAAATTCAAATTGTCCGAGTCACACCTTTTCTCTTTCCGGGGGGCTACTTCCGGTTTCCTGCCATTCTAAATTTGGACCATTCTCTCGCCACACAAAACCCAATTTGGTGGCCTAATATTACAATACTTCTTAGATACACGCACGTTTGATCTCTTATTTAGTTTATCTTTTCGTAAATTTATTCTCTAAACTTGTACCACCTTAATCAAATTATGTCATAACTTTTAATTTAGTCGATTACTGTCTTTGAATTTTTATAAATAGTTAATATTCCTCATCATTACATAAAAAATTATGTTCAAATTAGTTAATAGTGTTTGCCAAGCGATCCTGATTCTTCCTTAATTGAAAGTAGATACGACCAAAACTCAATTTTTCCTCGAACAAGTTTTATTTGCCAATATCTGAATGGCAATGACTCATCTACCCCTCTCAACCTCAAGTGGCGCACGTTAAGTTTAGGTGATAAATATGAACATAATGTTTGGATGGAAATTTTGTAAATCTAAGAGTGGGAGAGAGGTGACACTCGGAGGGCCAACATCCGAGAAGATGACTTCCTAACACTCTTCAAAGTTCAAACTCCACATTTATTTGCAATTGACTCTCAGCCTTCTCAGGAAACGAGGAGCAGAGATAACATACGTGGAGGAGAGATTTTTCTCAAGCATCATGTATTCAAGCGGTACTCCACATGTCATCCACTTATTTTATGGCACGTGGAAAACAAAACAAACAAAAAGAATTTGTCATTGAGGAGAGAACACAAAAGTTTCTACCAAAACCTTTATATACACAATACAATACAAGAGGAAAAACATCAACAGTTATTTGTTTCTACATCCACTACATAAACACTACATACAGTTACAACTCTACATATGTAACGTTACAACTACTACGTACCAATCTACCACTAACCAGCAACTAAACATGATGCGTGCAACGGTGAAGAATGCCAACTCCCTTTTCCACCTGTTTTTCTTGTATACATGAATGTAAAGGTTTCTAAACTTTTAGGTTTAGCCTTACATTCTGAACATTTACTGATATCTTTAACTTCTGTTCTTCCATATCTTTCAAAACAGCGAGTAGCTTTTCTCTGAATGCTTCACATTGCTGACTTGAAATTTCCAACGCAGCTGCCAACTCTTCAAGTTTCTTGTCCTGATCCTACAAATTCAAAAGAAGGGACAATAATCAGTTGAAGAAGACGCGTACATGCTACATGCAAAGCTAGAAGAAAGCAACAAACCAAATCAAATGCATGAAACAACAAAAGGAGGTAGGTAATGTAGAATTCTGTGAAGAAATTTGGACTTGGAAGTTGGAACAATTTCTAAAACCATTCAGTATCACTAATCAAAAGACAGAAAACCTACCAAAAACCAATGACCCAATTTCCCTCGAAGTATCACTCAGTTCCTATCAAATTAAGATGTGCAAGAAAAGTAGTCTACGCTTTTGCTTTAGAAACGAAAAACTACTTTCTACTATATTTTAAATATGACAATTTATCTTCAACAAAAAAGAAATGCAAATTTATGATATCTCAAATATCATTTCAGATTTTGCTTTAGACAGTTTTCGAGAAAAGACCTGCAGCCAAAGAAAAAGAGAAAGGATCTATACTGAAGAGATACACAGAACATCGAGTACACAATTATGTTTTGAAAACAAACAACAAAGTTTTACAATGCAGAGACCCAGCAAAGAGAACCCTCTTCCGACTTCCAAGAAAATAACTTACCATGGTACAAGACTGAAGTTTCTGACTGCAATTTACTGGGGTATTTTGTGCAATTGCAAGACCATGATTCTTTGCTGCGGCAACCTCATTTGCAGCTTCGCGAAGAGCATCCATTGCCACATTATAAACATGCACAGATTCAGCCCCTTCTTCTACATATTTGATTGCTTCCCTGCGTAGATTGTCATACCGAGCAGCACTGGAATCTTGAGAATCATTTGGCAATCCAAGAGTGTTCTCATCCCATACAACTCCACTTTTGGCATTTTTTGTCCAACGTTTTAATATATAGTGTGATGGAAGCGTAAGAACATTGGTTACTCGGAAGACTGCTAATATGTGCCTACATATAATGCCTGAAAACTCAAACAATTGGCAGCTGCAACGGGCTTTCTTCTCAAAAACATTGAACTTAACAGAGTGCACCTTGTGGTCTTCCCCAAATTTTGCCACCCCATACATGGTTTCTGATCCTGTATCATCAACCACAGTTGCAGGATAAGCAAGTGTCTCGACTAATTCCTCTTGGAATTTCATGAATATTATCCTTGTATAAAGTTTGGCAGCTTGTTTTTCCATTGGAGATGGCGTCCTCAGAATCGGAGAGCTGTTCATTGTATCATAATCAGCCTTTACTTCCTTTTCATGGCGAGTGGCAATTGCTTTTTCATACTGCTTTATCAGCACCTGAATGTTAGTTGATGCGTTTATATAGCCATCAAAATATGAGTTTATATTATCACTTCCTTGGGTTGCTGACATCTCACCAAAAAATGTATCCTGGAGAAAAACTGGCACCCATTGTTGCCGAGCATCGTATATTGACTGAAGCCACTCATTATCCCCAAGATCATATCTTTGAACAAGGGACTCCCAACATGACTCAAATTCCTCAATTGTCTCAGTCACATTGATGCACTTCAGCAATTCAGCTTCAAAGGTGGGGTGTGAGTGGTATATGTCGGACAATTTCTCCTGAGCTTCTCTGAATACGTTCCATTTACAAAACCGGTGGCGAGTTCCGGGGAATACATGCACAACAGCAGCCCGAATGATTCTATCCTGGTCTGTTGTGAGTGAGACGGGATGGCGGCTCGACATTGCAGCTAGCCAAGTCTGGAAGAGCCAAACAAATGAGGACTCTGACTCATTAAGGAGTAATGCGCATCCAAATAAAACAGGCTGTCCGTGATGATTCCATCCAGTAAAAGGGGCAAATGGGACACGGTATCGGTTTGTCCTATAAGTTGTGTCAAATGTTACAGTGTCTCCAAAGTAGTCATAATTCATTCTCGAATTTGCATCAGCCCAGAAAATGTTTCCTGTCGAGTTCTCAAAATCACCCTGGACGGCACAAAAGAAATCAGGATCCTCGACCTGCATTCGCTTCAAATAGTCAAAAACAACCTGACCCCCACTCCCAAGAGTTCTCTGCCTGCTGCTACTCATATAGTTCTGGCAATCAACTTTTGTGAAACCAACGTTATTAATTCCACCTGACTCCTTGATGAGCACAGACATCACTCCACTAGGACCCATGCCAGCCGCTTGAAGGGTATCAATCAGGCTTCGAGCAGGACCAGAGACATGCCTATGCGAACGGAGACAATGCACCCTATCCGGAGGCACAAGCTCATGGTTATGTTCCTTTACCAGCTTTGAAACAGCCCATCGTCCTGAAGTCTGTTTCTTGACGGTCATCTGTGCTTTACAACCAACTCTAGTAACCGTACGCTGGCGCTTGGACCTATTTTCACCACCGTCGCGGCGAAAGCCTTCACGGGAGCAGACAATTTGGCGGCATATGATGGAGCCATCGCGACGGGAGCGCTGGTAGACGCTGACGCGGGTGCTGAAACCAACTCGACGGGCATAAGAATTATAGAAAATGCGGGAGGCCTGTTCAGAGTCGAATTCCATGCCCTCGTAGGGTTCAAGACTGGGGTCCCCATCCGCATTAGGGAAATCATCACGAGACCTAGGAGAATTAGAGTGTTGAACCAAGTGATCATCGAAAATATCATAGCTATGATCAGTGTGTTGTAAGTGGAGGGCGGTGGCGGTGGCGGCGTCATCTTCTTCGCCAAATTCCACCACTTGGATGTCAGAGTCAATGTTGAGAGGCTCAGAGTCCATCGCTGAATACAATTTATCTAGTCTCTAATTTCTCCAGTAATTTGGATATCTTCTTCAACTAATTATATGAAAATTAAAACCCACTGGCAGTCTACATCTACAGCCTACAGGGGTAGTGGAAGAGAGAGAAAGCGAAGTAACTGACCGGAGAGAGAGAGCTTCACTAAGCAACAGGAGGAGGATGTGGGAAGTTGCAGTTGCAGGCGAGCTTCAAAGGACCAGAACACCGCAGCTGATATTCAAGTTTCTTAATTTAGGGTTTTGCATTTTTTATGGAAATGTGAGATGAAACAAGGTACAGAGCTTTGCAGTTTCGGTTGAGTGTCTGACAGTCTGATGAGCTTGAGAGAGAGAGGGAATTTCGGGGGTTTGAGTTGGAGGGTTTTAACACGAGTTTGTCTCTCAGTTCTGGGGGGGGGGGGGGGGGGGACAGTTTTGGGTGTTTTAGAGGAAGATGGAAGTTTCCTTTTCTTATGCGGTGGTTGGTAATGATCTAATGATACGCAGGTCTGCGGTCTACTTGATTACCTGGCTGCCTTACATTACATTACATGCCCACATCCTGGAGAGAGGATCCTCGCTGGATATCCGGACATCTTCTAATCACATAGTTTATTGTATATCGTGTGGTCAATTTTCGTCAGGTATTGTTTATATTCAATTTAAAAAAAAAAAATTTACAATAATTTCTGAGCACGACGATGTACAATAAACTAATATGATTTAAGAATCCCCGAGATCCTCACAAAGAATATTCGGTTCGGCGAGAATCCTCAGGGCACACCTGCCACCAAACTTTCTTTCACTTCATATTTTGGGATAGATTTTTCAGTATGTTCGGAACACAGGATGTGGTACACAGTACACTACGTGTCACTATGTACCTGGTGAGATACTCTTCACTTATATAACGACACGTGGTTGCTTTTGACACAATTTTATCCTATTTTGGATATGAGAATGTTTGGATTAAGAGAATAAAAATATTTGGGATACACGAGATTAGTCCCTTTTTTTTCTAGACCTTATGGTCCAAGTAAATTGTGATCCAACCGTAAGTGATCGTTGTTTCCTTGAACAGTAAGATTGAGGAGAACAGGAATATGTATGATATAATGTTGAAAGTGTTCATTATTTTTGTTTTGATAACATGAGCATTGCAACTTTTCTTCTTCAGCATCCAAGTCGTCATTTAAAATAAAAGAGTTGAATCTAAAACAAGGGCCATACTACTACTCCATCGTAGCGCTAGTAACAAGCATCATTAGATATATTTTTGCTTAAATGATACTTGGTGCTGGCAACAAACGGATATGGAAGTTGATGTGAAGTGTACGTAGAAAGTGTGGAATTTGATGGCAGTAGGGAAAAGTATGCGTTGGGATATGAATCAAAACATTTTTTTTAAGAAGAATACGAAGACATTGGGCGTTTCTTCTTATGTTTTTTGTGTGTAAATTTGCGGGTTTGTGGGCTCGGTTGCAGACAAGGTTAAGCTGGCGGAGGAGAACGTCCACCACCTTTGCCGGCGTGTCTAGAAATATCAACTACTTAACTTGTACACCGTCAAGTATACCAAGTGAAGTCTGTGTCTTTAAGGCTAAGAAAGAACATGAAACTTGTGTCAACGTGACAGGAGCACAAAATAATATACTTTTCCAGTGGGAGTGGAGCCAACTGTCATCAATGTAGTGCAATAATATTAAGAAACAGATGAACCCAAAAGAGACCTTAGTGACTCACAAACATCATTTCATCAGTTCCAAAATTTCAAAGTACAATCCTCAATACTTATTTTACGGAAAACAAAGTTGCGTCGAAAGCAAAAACAAAACCTGATTATTCCAGTAATTCCACGGTTGGGAACCTACATTTCCGCATACTGGCCAAAAAACACTAGACATGACGATGCCGAAGAAATTTAGAATTCAGTGTACAATAGTTATCAGCACCAGTAAAGGTCTATTATACAATTAAAGGGTCGATTGGCCATTGATAGGTGATGAGGACATAACCGAGAGGACTTCTGTCACAGACGCCATCACACTCAAAGCTGCTTTCAGAACCTCTTGCGAGCACCCAGGCTTTACAATGGTTCGAATCTGAAGCAAGACAAGACAAGGAAACCATGAGAACTAAGGTCATGAATGCAATACAATCCAGGCCGACCAAATTTAACAGCATTCATGATTAAAATATAACACAAGGACCTGCTTATCCATCCTCTCGTGCAGATTTTCAACTATATGAGACTAGCATTCTCACACGATTCACTATAATTTCCTAATGCGTATGTGTCAAACGTGAGATTTTTCAGTGTGTCAGGAACATGACCCGATCAAGTTTCCAACGAATTGTATTATGATAGTGTACCGGGCCGTGTTCCTGGCTTGTGTAAAACAAAGAAAACAGCCCCGAGAGACAAGAGTGTGTAGCATTTTGAGTACCTTGTCAAGATACTCCTGCAGTTTCTTGATACGCCCCATGTAATCCTGGTCTTCAACACATAGTGATACAGCCTTAGAATCGGCACCAGGACCATCAAACTGCAGAGGCCCTGGGTTTCTGTAGATATCATCAAGCAGGAATTTTGTAGCATTTTGCCTCAACAAGCTGCAACCAAAGTCAAAAGGCACAGTGGAATCAGAGATGACTATTCATTCTCAGATTAACATTTTGAGTTTGATATAAACAAGACCCAGATTGTGACTTACTCATATGCTTTGCCTTTCAAATCTACAGTAGCGGGATGAATAGCTGGTTTTCCAATTGAAGCAGTCCCAGGATTTTGAGCCCAACGCTTAACAGTCATCATTGCCTAACAATGTCAATCAAATCCAGTCAGAGGAGTCAATGCCCCAAATCAATAAAACACCCCAAGGAACCATAATATGAAAATTAAGAAAACCGCATTATAAAAAAAGAAATCCGTACAGTAAGTGGAGCAGCACCACAACGCCACTTATTCACAGGATTCCTCAAGTTAGTTATAGTTGCCATGTAACCATTCAAACCAGCTGCGAGAATATGGTAGCCAATGTGCCCTAGAACCTGCAAGGGCATTAATCACATTAAAAAGAAGCATAATAATAGAATAAAGGCTGAGGAGACGGAGCACCCTAGACAGTAGCATACATAAGCATAGTCACAATCGAACTTTGATGGTAAAGACCCCCGAGCCTGATAACCGAAGAAGTGGCATATAGCATTAAATTTCTTCCCCTTGTATGTGCCCTCTTTCTGCCCAAATAACCAAACACATAAGCAATAAAAGTTAGTGAATAAACACATAGAACTTTCTTAACTCAATCTACTAAAAACTTTCTGCCTATATAGAGAACAAAGACAGAAAAGACAAATAGACATTAGTCACATCACCAAGATCTGGACATGCACATACAAAAACTGTTGAGAGAGAGAGAGATCATACCTGACGCTTATTCATTTCCCCCTCCACAAGATGTGCAAGAAGTTTCTCTGTCTCAATCTGTACATGAGAAAAAAAGAAGAGATCAAGTATCTATAGATGAGTAATTCCATTAAGAAAATACGGGTAAATATGCAGCCAATTACCTGGGATAGTTGCGCAGAGTCATCTGATTCAGGCAAAAGTAGTACCTGCAACAAAAAAACAAAAAATTGGACCCTATTATTCATCGAGATCAACTAAATGACAGCCATAAAAGTGTCTAGACAACCGTTTTTTTTTTTTTTTTTTTTTGTGGAAACCTCAGGACAAGCAGCAGAGTTGTAACCTGTTTCTTGATAAATGGTGGCAAGAATTCAAACAATGCAGATGCCCAAGGTGAAAGTTGAGTAGAAATTTTATCGGCAGATACTCCTTGCCTGTGCAAACCATGAATTTCCTGCAAGGAAAAAGACTCCAGTATGAACATATAAAGTTATAAACTAAGGCCAAAATTACAAGGAATAACCATAGGAAAATAAAATTGCTTTTCCAGCGAATGGAAATCAAATGCATCACCTAATGGTATACTGATTCTTGAATAAAACACAAAGAATGAAAAACGTCATTGGAAAGTTGTCACGTGTGGGAGAGAGAAAAATTTGCATGAGTTACCTTCAAGAGGGCATACACCTCAGGAATGCTTTCTATGAGTCCTTCAGGTAATAGGATGACACCATGATTCTTGTCTGAACAAGATGAAAATGAGTTAGGACAGGAGCACGGAGACATAAAACCCCACAATGACGAGAAAGCAACCGAACTTATTTCAAACCTTGTGCTGCACGGGCTTCCACTGCATCACAAATTTGTGTTGTAATGTCAAAAAGAGTTAGCTTTGATGCCGCCACCTCCTCACCAAGAATAACCTGCAAAAAACATATAATTTAATATTGAAAAAAATAACTCAGGAAAAGTACAGGATTTTAATGACATTTAGATTAAATCAGCCGCGGACAAGGAACGCTAACCAAATTTGGATGGGACTGGAGGGTGCACTCCAACGCAACATGTGATGCCTTCCGGCCCATGAGTCGAATGAAATAATAATACTAGAAAAAGAGAGCCACAGGAGGTCAGCATAAATAAAGTTGTGGTGCACAGAACCAAAATAATATAATAAAAGAACATAACAGAGACTAGGGAATGACAAGTTCACTCAGAAGAAGCAAATTACGATTCAGGTACATTACCTTCTCTGCCGAAAGAGCATCAGTGCACATATTGCTGATTAATTGGGAATTGACCTGAGTAAAGGAGAGTATAAAATTCAATTCATATAACTATGTGCAACAATGTACAAAAACCCCAACAAGACTACATGGTTATTCTATGACCAGCAAAAAAAGTTCAAACAGTCTTTCTTTTTCAATTGGAAAGGAATCGACCAGTGTTACACAACCATACTGAGGAAAAAACATGGAGTCTAATGATAAATAACAAACATTCCCTTTTAAAGTAACTTAAAAAGACCCACCAAAAAAACATAAAGATGATAGTAACAGGAAGCTGATAAAGCTCATCCATCCCCCAAGAGAGTGCCTTTCACTTGCAGATAAAAAGGGTCAAAATAATTTGACTCGTACCTTACATATTGTATCAAAACCAACATTTGCTTCGACAAACTGGTTCTTAAGATCTCCATTCAAAGTGACAGGAACACCAACCACCTGCAAAAATTAAAAAAATTCAATCAATATTGTGGTACCACATATCCATAACTTACATAAGGTGAGATGTAGACAGCTACATTACAAGAGTAAAATATAAACTACAACTACATTGCCACATACAAAAAGAACCTCAGCAATCAATTAAGTAACGATACAAAATATCATGTGAAAAGTACCTTTGTTGAGCATTTTGCTTCCGCAAATGTCTCTGCAAGCTGGGCGGCATCGGTATTTGAGGTCACACCTTCAAGAAAACCAACTTAAGAATTTAATTTATGCAAATAAAAGCACATCAACCAACTACCAAAATCATAAGGCAAGTGGCTTGTAGCTCAGTTGGTTAAGAGCATTCGCCCTTGCATCCGAGGTCCCGTGTTCGAATCCCCCTCCCCATAGTTTAATGTAGAATATCCTGTCGTTCGTAGAAAAAAACTACCAAAATCATAATCATCAATTACCTCCAATAATGACAAGGCCATCCAATTTCAAATCCTTGCATGCGGTAAGTGTAGCGTTGACTTGCTCAACTGTTCTAATTTGGTCTTTTGTCCTTCCCAGCAAATCATAACCACCTGGTATAGCGAAGGCATATCACAGCTCATAAGTTTTAACAATAAAAAAAGTATTCCTTCACACGGGAAATTATCTTCCTATCACTACCTACCTTGGTTTTTGTAGGTTGCAAGAATTTCATCTGTTATCTCAAGAGTTTTTTGTGCAAACAAACCTTCAGAACCCCCTGTTAACAGATAAAAGTGTGTCATAAGTAATGTCAACTTCCTTAATGAGTGAGAAATACAAGATTCCAGAAAAATCAACAGCAACTAATCAAATAACTTTACACATACACAAAACAATAACCCAATGCAAACAACAGAAAATCTAGATACAATGACCAAAACGAAATAAGTGCATACCCAAAAACCCAAGTAAGGTATTGTTAGGGTTGTGAACTTTTAGAGCGTTGTGAAGACCCCATATAACATTATGTCCTCCAGGTGATTGTCTCCCACAAAAGACAACTCCCACCCTGTTCAAATAGAAGAAATTGAATACTTAAGCAATACTTAAAAATATTTAATTCCATTTATATCATTGAAATAACTCAAACACCACCACCAATGGGGTGGGAAGTAGTATAATTATTACACAACTGGTTATAATTGCAACATATGTGCATACCTAACAGGGGGATGCTCAGTAATAACCTGAGCACCAGGGACTTTGGCAGTTGCCCTGAGAAAGTGAGCCAAAGGCTGACCGTAAGTGTGGGGAAAGTAGCGACTGATGGTGTGGGAATCGGTGGGATCTAAAGATGTGGTTGTATCACCAAATTCAACCCTCACGGTAGCTCCCTGCGAGATGACAATGTACAACAAACAAACACGACCATTAGTTAAAATCTCAACAGCCGGGGAGTAAGAGATGGATTCACCAGTCACCCCATTAAAACATAGTCGATCAACCCCGGAAATCTAAACAATTATGAACGGAAATCCTCTAATCAATCAGAGATGCATAGGAAATACACTTAAAAAGTCCGTTCTTATAGTACATCAAGTCAAACAGTATTAAACTTAAGTCAAACATTCAGATTTTAGAGTGAGGTAGCACGGTAACGCCATGGACATGATTCTTATATGTAATTGCATGTTGGATAGAAACTCAAAGACTAAATCATGCTACTACTGTATCGAAAAACCATGCTACCAAAAATTCAAAGAAACAGTAGCAAATTTGCAACAGTTACTGAGCAGGCAATGCAAGTAACAAATACCAAATCAGCAAAAACACAATATAAACAATAATAACCAAAACAAATCAATTCAGCTCGATTCAATCCTACCAAATAGATCCAACTGTAACTGGATCCAGAACTAGAAAATTAAAAGTAATAACGACAGAATCGAGGTATATAAATATATATATATAGAGAGAGAGAGAGAGGGACCTGGAGGCAAGGAGGAAGCTCGGGTTGGTATTGGGATCGGAGTTTCTGAAGATCAGAGAGCTCTCTGGGAATGCCGTAGTCGGAATCCATGGCGCCGGCCGATTTGGGGAGAGAGAGAGAGAGAGCGAGAGAGAGAGAGAATTTGGTGGGTGTGGTGTTTGGTGTAAAGCAAAACTACTGCGGTGAAGGTGATAACGGGCCTTTCAAAAGACGGCTTTTATAGAGTGCAAAAAGGGCCCGGCCATTGGCGATACTACCAACCCGATACCTTTCACATCTGCTCTCCACGTTTTTAACTCCAAATTCCCCTGCTATTTTTCTTTTATTACGGCCTTGCCATCATCTATATTTTCTGATTGACTGATTTGCCCCAACTTTCTTCTATTATGATTCTCATCCATTCGTTTCCCTGGTTTTGTAACAACTGATATTTTAAGCTTATTCCCCAAAAAAAATTAGTAAGGCATGATTCACGGAATAATTATTATCAAATCAATAATAAATTTCTTTCTTGTTTGGTCTTTTATCGATAGATTTTTTTTTTAATTAAATTTGTCATTTGATCAACTCTTCAATACTCAAAGATGCCTTATGTTTGAATCTTCCGAAAACAAATCCCACATGGAATGAGGGGCTTGCATGGACTTATAAGTAAGTGAATTACTCCACATATTGTTAATTTGTTTTATAGTGAAATCAAACTTTCTTCATGATCTTTGACTTCTTATTGGAGGTTCAAGTTTTGGTTTTAAATTGTACCTCTAATTATACTTTGCGTTGTGCTATTTCCCACCTCCACTTTTTACCTTTCACACACTCTTATTAATTTTTGTCCGTTGAATTTCTTCAATTTATTCGGTCTAGCGGCTGAAAAATGAGAGAAGTGTGAGAAATAAAAATGTCCACATACCCTATGCTTTTTTACTTGTCGTTGCAATCCCTTCTCCCAACACGTGAGCAATTTGCATGAGTCAGATAGAGTATCACTATAGAGTTTTGTGTCAATTATATAAAAACATGCATAAAATCTGTCTAAATATCTAAATATTTTACAAACATCTATAAAACCAATGTACCCGTTTTTCTCCCCAAATCAACCCTTCCCCCTATTGCACAAGGTTTTGCCCAAACCAATAAATTCAAAAATATAAAATTTATAAAGATATAAAAACGAGAGAAAAAGTTAAATTAACTTTTCTATCATCATGTGCATAGATCAAATTATGCGAAGATCTTTTGTCATGTGTTTTTATATATACTAATCTCCCTAAATAATTAGGTTGTCAATTTATCGCATGTCATTCAAGTTTATACCCTCAATTGCATCTTGTTTTTATTGGTGACATAATCCTTATCTGTTTTTCTAATACGAAAGCATATTGGTGACATAATCCTTATCTGTTTTTCTAATACAAAAGCATATTGGTCACATAATCCTCATCTGCTTTTCTAATACAAAAGGCTGCACAATGGTTTTTGTTAAAAGGAATTGTATTACAAACACAACGCCGCAACAATACTTTATTATTAAAGAGAAAGTAACAAGGAGCCGTTGGGGTTATCCAAGTGGTAAAATTGGTATTATCAGTTGATTTTTTGGGTTTGAAACTCTCGAATATAATTAAAAAGACATAAAGTACTACAATTTAGTGATATTCTTTTTCACTTAAAAGTGAAATGTTTTAGGTTCGAATCTCATAGATGACAAATTCGATACCAAATTAAACTGTCCATTATATAGTTTTACCGAACTCTCCCTCCTATTAGTATAAAAAAATATCGATGTACTTAAAATAAAATAAAAAGACATAAAGCAAACAGAGGATATGAATAACTTATGATTTTTATATAATTTTATCATTATTTGTATGATTTTATATAATAATATTATTATGATGACCGCCCAAGTCCCAACACGTGTTGTGTAGCAGCACTAGTTATATAATAATAATGATCGAAATTGAAAGAAGAAAACCTTTGAAGATTAAGATGAGGAGTTGTTGGGGGCAAACATATGATATGAGAAAGGTGAGAGGCTAATTTGATAAATGACAGATCTTGATCAGACCGGACATTGACTGGAGGATGGAAAATGGAAGCATCTTTATGCGCACATTCGATTTGAATATCCTGTCAAGGCTACTCCAGTAAATTCAAGTCTGCCCCCTGTCTTACCAAACTGCCTGTAACTGAAAAACAATGCTGTGCGCGCTCGCACTGGATCTCCCACCTAACACCCTCTCACGCACGCCTAAAGAACGACAACGTTAGTTGGACTTGGGCCTCCAAATGTACTGAATGCCTCGTAAAAACTTTTGAGTTGCTCGAGGCTGAATATATTGGTTTGTTTCTTAATTGAGCTGAACCCGGTACGAGTTTAAACTGTTTCGAGTTGACTTACAACCCCAGTTGCAGCAACAACAACATTGATGTATTTCCTTTTTCTGTTTTGTCTTTTGGGTTTTTTTCACTCGTTTATGTTGTTCACATTGCTGTCCTTTCTTGTCATTTCATTTTAGGATATAAATGATTTTGTTTAGTGTAAACCGTAGTTAATCACAATAAATAATAAAAATGCGCTAGTAGGTAGAGTGGGCCTTAATACCCGGTTTAAGTTTTTGGGCCTCATTACTCAGAATGAGTTGTTAAGCCTTTAGGCCCAGTTCTAACAAACAAACAAACGAGTAAAAAAAACAACATAAATGAGTTTTGGAAGATCGATTTCCTCAGAAAAAAAACGTTGGAGTGTCGCTCACGCTTTGGGCTTTAGACTGCCTTCAGCGACTCCGCCTTTAAACCCTCTCTCTTTCCGTGTATTATTCATCAGACCCATCGCCGCCTTTTCCTTAGCTGCCTTTCCGTGCCGCCAAAGTCCGTCGTCGCGAAGCGTGGCTGCCCAAAGGCCACCGAATCAGAGAGCTTACTGCTGTAAGTTCCTCTTCTGCCTTTTATTTCTTCTATTTGATCGCCTAGTAGTGTTGTTGATGTTGTTGTTTTCGTTATATGTCTGAAATTGAAATTGTCATTGAATTTATCTCTGTGATTGAAGGCTTATTATTCTCAATCTCATTCATCCATTCATGTTAATTGCGTACTTGCATTATGCAGTCGGTCATTCAACATACTTAATAATACTAATTTTCGAATGCACTCTATATTTCATATGAAAAGTTCACACTCCAAATTGCTGTGCAGAATTTAACTTTGTAGAATGTTATGGAACTCCACAGATCAAATACTTGAAAGTTCAATTTTTATTCTAAGAAGTAGAAAGTTCTATGAAGGCAAGGAAAATGTAATTTTAGGAAGGCATGAACCGATTGAAATAACAGTTAACGGTATTTGTGATTCTCGCAATCTAAGCCAAGAAAAAAGGTAATTGTATAAAGCTTAGGTTGGACAGGTTGTGTTTTACATTGATTCATTTTAATTGTGTTTTTGGATTAAACAATACATAGCCTTGCTGAGGTATGTTTAATGCGGTATCATATTATACAATACATTCTTGAACTGTGTGTCCTTAAATCTTATACATACAAGGTGGCATGCTGATGAAGATTTATGTTGAGGATCTAGCTTGAGGACTTGCAAATTTTAGTCGCTAGTTCATATACAATATGGATCATGTAGATGCATAATAGCCTCTGTGTAAACAGCTCATCTAACAGCCGAAATGCAACTCCTCAATTTGAATCTTCATTAAACAGCCCTTTATTGCACTCATGCATTTGTGTGGATTCTCAAAAGAGAGCCGTATCTGTACAATAAGCCTGAAAGAGTATTCATGTATTGTTGCTTGAAAATAAAAGTATGTAAGGTTGGTCATTTGCTTGGCCATAATCTATATGTAGCTGGCCTTTGTTGTTTAGTGGAAGCTTGGCCAAAAGGTTTGAGCAGAAAGCCACAATGATTTTCTACATAAGGAACATACAAAATAATAGAAAACTGGGCACTGATATTTCTCTAAATGCAAAAACTTGGAAAATAAAAGTGGATGATGGCTGCTTTTTCACAGCAAGATATATTTGTGTTTAAAGAATGAAATTGAAAATGTAAATGAATTTTTGATGTCTCTTGTGGTACTTAAGGAAGAAGCAATGTTAGTTCTCAGGCCGAAAAAAAAAACTTGCTTGGAGGGTTGATATTTTTTTATTCTTAACTTTTATCTAGTAATGCTTTGTGAAGAGAGATATATTTCAGTCTCAAGTAGTTTCAGTAGTCTGAGTCCTCTATGAGGTTTTTAATGTTCTGTTAATGTAAACCCTACATGATACGACATTCTTATCACCATTTTAAATTCCCTTACATAGCATTCTTTTTGTAATTTGGTTCCTTTGTTTGAGGGAAGGTAAATGAGAAAACTCTTTGAATGACTAATAAATTCTTTTTATCGTACTTGTCTGGGTTGATTCGATTGTATTTTTTTTTTTATTGTCATACTATTGCTTGTAAGCCGAATGCATGTGTCACCTTAATCACTGCTATTTTTCTTTAATCAAATACAATATAATCAATTCTAAACATGATTTTATTTTGTTGTGCTTCTCATATGCAGTTACTGTAGTTCTATTAACTAAGGTATATAGTTGACATCAAATTTTGATCATCCCGTTGACGTTACATTCAGGAGGTTTTGAGGAGCCATGGGGAGTGTTTTGTCTTCCACTACAGAAAATCCTGACCCGCCCTCGTCCAACTCAACGATTCCCACTGATTCTCATAAGGCTGGCTCACCACCAAACTCATCAAATCCCCACCTGGCCGATTCAGATTCTAAAACCCCAGACAAGCAAAATCCAAAACATTCCTTAGATCCCCAATTGGGTAACAAAACCCTAGAAGAAGAGAAGCGTCAGGAAGATGAAGGCCAATCAGAGAATGTTATGGAGGAAGAAGAGGAAGAGGAGGAGGGAGAGTGTGGCTTTTGCTTGTTCATGAAAGGGGGAGGGTGCAAGGAGAGTTTCATAGCTTGGGAAGAGTGCGTTAGGGAGTCTGAGAAGACAAAGGAGGATGTTGTTGAAAAGTGCTTTGAGGTCACCGCAACATTGAAGAAGTGTATGCAGGCTCATTCAGATTACTATCTGCCCATTTTGAAGGCTGAGGAGGCAGCTGAGAAGGAGGTTGCCAAAGAATTGGAGAAGGAAAAGGATTCTGAGAGCTTGGAGAAAAATGCTACTTTGGAAAAAACGGATCAAAAGGGTGGAAGTTCCAGTGAAAAAGGAGACAATTAGAGAGCGAGGTGCCTTTGTCAATTGGAAATAGTATATAGATAATTGAGATTGATATTTTCTGAAACTCCAAATCTAACCACTATGGTGGGCAGTGATTGAGATTTTTTGTACGCGGCTTTAGTTGCTGATATATCATGTCTCTTACTTGACTTGGCTCTAATCTGACCACGTTCTTGTTGATCATGTTGTTTGTGTAATCGAAAAATCAGTGTTGATTTGCTCATGTGTTTCATATGGGTTGAAAAACTTTGCATATATAAGCAGTCATTTGAACTAATTCTATTTATTATAATTACAATGCGAGTAAACAAGCAGTCATTTGAACTAATGTTTCAACTGTTGGTAACCACAATCTAGAAGCTGATGCCTCAAGCAAGTTAAGGTATAATTTACCAGATGCAACAAGAACAAGGATTGTTGCCTCGTGATACCCATTGTACACAATGAGCTCTTTATAACGCAATAGTTGAAGGAGTTCAATGTCAAAAATTCCTCAAGATCTTCCTCCGAAACTGGTTGACCAGATACAACATCAACAACGATCGAATAAAAGAAACGAAAAGATAAATAGATCATAGATGCTATGATGACCATTGTATACAATCACCAAGAAATGAAGAAAGCATAGTTGGAAGGATTCCCATATCAAAAGTTTAACCCATTAATTATAGATGCTAGTTTTACAGTCTACTCGATAAAAGGCCCTCTGCATCTCTGCATTACTACCATCTCAAAGAGTAATAACTACAACCAAAACAAGATCATAACACCAAAATAAAATAAACCAACCAACGAACCAGCAACCTTAAGTTATTAACATTAGAGGAGGGAGGGCAGAGTTCACGTAAATACTCAGGAACCAAGGCAATCCACTCTGTTTCATCTTTGTCCTTGACGATTTGCATCTCCTACTTTTAGAAAAAGATGGGAGTTGAAACATCTTACTCGACCCCCCTCTTGGCCTTTGACCCACTCTTCCTAGAGCTTTGTTTCCGTCCACGTCCACGTTTTTCAGTGGATGTAGCAGCAGGGTCATTAGAGTTCGAGGCAGAGCAAGGAGGCACATGATGTCCAGGCACCAAAGCAGGGAACCCAACAGCAGGAGTTCCAAAAAGAGCACAGCAGACTCCTGCTTTGAGGCCAAACCACCATGTCCTTGTCGATATGCATTGTTCATCTGCAAACTCAAGCGTAAAGCATGATTCTCGGCGTAGCAGCACTGGAGCAGATTGCCCAGTCTCCTGCATTCAGCTTCAAAATACTTGCTCTTAATCTCCAGATCCTTCACATACATCTTTCTCCTCTCCCTTGATCTCACGGCCGCATCCTTGTTTCTCAACTGCCTGGAATTTCAAACCACATTCGCTACTATCAACGCTATTATCGTAATTAACCAACACACAGTTATAATTCAACCAATAACCTATTCTTTTTTCCAACCCAGTAATCTTGCTTATCTCCTAATCCTCTTCAAAAGATTCACTTAATTAGCACAGAAAACAGAAAAGATGCAATAAATTGACACAAACACAGTAATTTAATAACAACAAATTAAGAATAAGTCAATCCAGAAATTTTATCGGCATTACGCCACACATTCTATAATTTAAACGCAATTCTCCGATTTTTACTTTGACACAAGTTAAGAAGATTTACCGATACAAACAATAACAATAGGCATAGTAAATTAAAGGTACCTTCTCCTTTTCTTGGAGATAGGATCGTCGTCGGCGTCATCGGTGAGCGGCGAGCGGTCGAATTTGTCTTTGTCGGAATCGGGGAAAGCGCTGGAATCACCGTCAGTGGAAGGCGAGTTGACGAGTGCATCTGCCAAAAATTGGTCGTAGTAGTCGTTGTTAGCGGGTCCCGATTCCGCCAAAGGAACCTTGTTGGCGTCGAAATCGTCGTCTTTCATCAAAATGGTCTCGATCGCGCCGAGCAAATCCGGGGATGGGTTCGAAGGAGGCTCAGGCTCCTCCACCGTTGAAGATGGCGAAGTGGATGATGACGGCGGCAGCGGCGTTGAACCGGTCGCCGTGACGGGTGGATTTGGCAACTGAAAGACATGATCCAATCCATTGGAAATAGAGGCGTCGTCTAACCAAAGATCCCAATCGATTTCATCCAGAAATCCAACATCAGCGTCCAATTCCATAAACAAAGAAGCAGTTGAAATATCTAATCTAATGATAATCCTAAAGGCTAAAGGTGGACTAAGAGCGGAGGTGGAGTCCTAACTCCTAAACGTAAAAGCGTAGGGGATAATTATAAAGGCTAGCAAGCGACACGGACAACTGTTGGAAACGCGTTCTAATTCGGACTAAACTTCGCGAGAAAGGAAGCCACCTAGGATTTAAGGCGATGAAATCACCACACCAATAGGATCACGCCACATAGGATTTCAATCAAGTAGTATTTGGTGGGCTCCCGCTCTTACCTGGAAGTTGCTTCTCTTTATACAAGTGAAATCCTCTAGAACAAGGACGACTAACAAATCGAAATTAAAAAAGTGTAACCTATCAGTTCCCGCACCTATGAATTGTCTCAAAATTATTATTTGAGTAAAATTTAAGTTTTCAATTAATAAAATTAACAATTTCATTCCTACTAATATATTAGAAGTTATTTAATTCAATTTTTCGTCATTTAAGTCACTAAATTTTTGCGTAATAAATCTAAAAGATGGTACCGTTGTAATTCTAACCATCATTAAGCTTATTAAATACTACAAACTTTACTCTCCAAATCGTATCGCATACAAACCTCATGACTTAAATTGACAAAAAAAAAAGAAGATAAAATAGCTTCAAATCTAATTGTAGTGATGAAATCAATTGTTTTTAAAGAGATTAAGGACACATAAAGACACTTGTGTGTCTAAGCGAGCGTGATGTTAGGAATTGACAGTCAGTTGATAATTTAGGGAAGTATATAGGTTCGTTTGGATGTACTTTTAAAATGATTAGAACTACTTTCTCAAAAAAATGTTTTTGAGTTCTAAAAGCACTTAAAGTGTTTGATGCAAAAAAACACTAGTTATGTTTCTTGTAGAAAGCACTTCATATGCTTTTTCAGATTTTACATACATTTTTACTAAAGATTGGTTAAAAAAATATTTTCACAAAAAATGTTTCAACCATTTTAAAAACAATTTCAAACAAACTTTACATGACTCGGTGGCGTTAGGTTTATTGATTTATTCATGTCGAATCTTTGCACGAGGGTCATGCTAATCTTCCATGATCCGGATCGTTTCAATTTAATCGGACTTCCCCTCAAAGAAACAAACCACGATTTGTTAACCGTTCAATCCCGAAAGTAAGTGGAAGAAGGGCAAAATCACAACAAATCTCAGCCTGCCTATATGCAAAAGTATATTGGAGATTCAAAAGAGGAAATCGTTTTATCATCTTCAAAGTTCATGCAAGTTGTATATGTGATATATATGTGTATATATATATATATATGTATATACACATTTTCCAACAATGGGGATCCCTTCCCTTAAAGGATCTGTATGTATGTGTGTGTGTGTGTGTGTGTGTGTATATAACACTCACTACCAACAACATTATAAAGCCATCAACAAACAGCATTGCATTTGCAATCGCACTTGCACATGCACATGATCGATCGAAGTTCGAACGATCAATTATCCCAGACAAATCAAATCCTGCCCTATAAGACTCGGTATCCTAAGCCCTGCCTTTCTAATTTCAACCTGTAACTGCTATCTGCTTGTCCACGACACACAGGTTACTTGAAGAATAGCCTAAATTTGCGCTCGAGCTTCAGAAATGCTATCAACAACACCTTCACCTAAGAGAGGAAAACTCAGTCAAATATCAAATATCATCATTCAAAAGACTTGCAGAAAAATACAAAGGAGAATCCACACCAAACACCAAGGCATCTGTCAACCCTGCAAACCTCTCACTCATTGTTTTCAGCTTCCTGACCAGCACTGTTGAATAAATCAAATAAATTGCTCATCTTTCATTAGAGCTTTAATGCGGTAATATTATGGTTTTTTTCCTCCTGTGGCCAAAAAACTAACACCTAGAAACCATTAAGTCGAATATGAAACTAGTGATCACTGTTTGCTAGACCGATGAATCTGATATGTATATTTATGTGACAACCATCTATTGCCGACAAACCAAAGGAGCCCCTAGAGTTGGCCTACACCATAGCTAGTTAGATCAATCCGTCAACTCGCCATATGACCTGTTTCTGAGCAGTTTTTCTGTTCACCTACACCATTCTCAGAGCTACTGTATCAGACCCTAAATCATAAGCGGAAAGATTATTAGATAAAAGACTGGGCAAAGAAGCTGAAAAATCTGTCTTGAGCATAACATCAGGAGAGGAAATCTGAACAATGCTCTAAGTCTGTTAAGTACTGAAATCCATGTACCTGGACACCTACACATCGACGCGACATTAAAAATAGCAGGAACAATGCTTTCTAGCCAGAAAGTGATACACAAATGATACTCTAACAAAGAAAGAATACAAATGCTAACCTATCCCACCATATCATCGGTGTGCTGAGAGTCCAGTTTAGATTCATCATTGAACCCGGCTTCTTCTCAACTTATGATTGGAAGATCACAGAACAAACACCCGACCTAAGAATCTATAACGAACAAGATGCTATAAACTAAATAGCAACGTCCTGTAAACTTAGAAAGGAAAAAAAAAAAACAACAAAATATCTACCTAGCTGTGTGATATACGTACTGCATTCGCAGTGGAATTCATCAAAACTAGTGTCTCCGCAAACAAGCGCTTTACACGCCACTACTAGCTGTAAAGACAACAAAGGAAGCAATGTTATAATCAAATTAACTGGATTACTTGCTTCAATATGTTTTAGAAACCAACGACTTCTGATATTAAAACAATCTAAAACAAAAATATTTGATGGCCAGGGATTATTATGCCACTTTCAGTTTGTCATATCTTCATGGAACTAAAACAGACATAAAGGTTGCAGAACATAGTATACAATCCAAGCCAGAAAGGAAACACATGCATAAGTCTAGAACGAGTTATATGATTACCAAAATTGCAAGAGAACATGCAGAAAGAAGGGGACAGGGGCAGTGGGAGAGAACAAATTATAGTTACTCAATGCAAATAAGCAAAATTGCCCACCGTTTGCACATTAAGCTTTCGAAGAATCCAGAATGATCACCTCAAATGTTTTCCAGAACAGACAAATCCAAATTAAAACCTACCAAACTCTATATAAGAAAACTCCTACAAGCTCTTGACAGTTGCAATTTCACATTGACACCTTTAAAGCCAACCTTACTCGCAACGCCTGATTCTAATTGAGCTAGGGACCAAAAAAGGGGGCCCATATTGGGAAGATCAGGCATGGACGGTACCAAAAAATACTTTCTAAGTCTTTAAATAAATACATATATATTTTTATTATATCTTGATCGATCTTCCAATCGAAACAAGACAAGATCAATTTTTCGGCAGATTTGTACGAATCTAATATCATGTATATTGAAAAGTGATGCATGAAATGCGAAAAGAGATTGCGAGGGAATGAAATAATAAGCATCTGCGCTCGTCTGCAACCTAGTCAAGTAATCAGACAAACATACAGTCACTAATCACACTCTAAACCCCTACTAAATAGTAAATACTAATCAATCTAAACAACCAAACAAGACAACTGACAGTAATACATTTGAGTTTTAAATGACACAGATATAGAAAGATTTACCCATCAAATCAACCAATCCAAGTGAAAAATCCCAATGCCAATGCGCTTTCATATCACTCACTGCTTCTCCTCCCTTTCTCGATTCCACTGCTCAATCCTCGCTCGCCGTTCCTCGCTGCCTTCCCTCACCACCACGGGGCTCCTGCCCCTGCTCCTGCTCCGCCTGGGACTGCTGCCGTGTCTTCTCCTCCCACCGTCTCTGTCCCGGTCCCTCTCGTACCTGTCCTTGCTCCGTCGCCCATTCCCGCGATAATCGCGGTCCCGATAGTCCCTCTCTCTCTTATCGTACTTATCGTAGTCCCTGCTCCGATGCCTTGGGCTCAAACTCCGGCTCCGGCTCCGGCTCCGGCTTATTCTGTAGCCCCGGTACCTCCCGAAGAGCCTCCTCCTGAGCTCCCTCCCAATCAGCTTGACGTGCATGAAATTACAATATCCCCCTCGGTTGCAGCTGTTCTCCTCGAACTGGCGGCACGTGGCTTCGCGAAAGTCGGTCACGGGCGAGAAGTCGGCGATTATGGGGCGACCATTGTAGAAGCGGCCCTGCAGCGCCTGAAGAGCGGCGGCGGCCTGATCCTCCTCCTTGAACTGGACATATACGTTGCCGATCATGTGATCGGCGAGGTTGTCGCAGACGTTGAGGCTCTCGATCTCGCCGAACTTGGTGAGCTCCTCGAAGATGTCCTCGTAGAAGTCCTCGAAATGCTCTTGGATCTTGCGCGGGTCGAGGGGCTGGCCCTGGGAGTCGACGCCGGGGGTGATCATGTCAGGCCGCTGGTACATGTTGGACAGCAGCAGCGTGGGACTGATGGTCGGGCGGTTGTGCAGGCGAGAGCAGCGGTCACCGTGGCGGCAAGCGCCGATCTTGAAATAGAAGGGGCAGTTGACGCGGTCCTTCTCTGTGCCGAAGATGGAAGCCAAGTGCTCCGCCATAGTAAATGCTACAGGGGTTCCAGGTAACAGATGTCGACGGGCCCTAATTGCCAATTGGTTGATTGAATTCCGGAAGCTTCGATTCGACGCTTCGGACCCTTGTTTACTGCTTCGCTTCACAGCTGCTTACGATTTCATCATCTGATCTGATCATCTGATGCTAAAAGGATAAATGCTGTGCTGCAATGACCACCGTTCGCTTCTTTTTGGTCAATGCATCACGACCGCTCACATCTTGAATAGACTCTACGAAAACAACTGGAACGTAAAACCCTAATTCCCGATAGCAGATTTTTGTTAATCCGTACCAAGAAAGTGTGATATTTTCGGTAGAGTTCTAATGGAAAAAGTTTGGTGGATATGTGCACCGTTCCATTTTTTAGCTACTTCTAAGTTAGAGGCCGCTGAAAANGCTCTTC